AAAAAAAATAATCAATTGTTGCTGGACTCTCCCCTCTCCATCTCTCTAGCCTAATGAGGGGAATTCCTTCCATTTCGTGTAGAAGAAAATGAAACTCGTGGTTCTTCCCCATGTGACTTGGTTTCACTAGGATTGATTTTGCAAAGTGCTGGGAAATAGAAGTCCTCCAGTAGGTAGTATTTGTAGCAGTATATTTGTTTTCTTAAAGGAAAGCTATACTAAAATCACTTTGCACACCAGTTTCTGCATAGTAGATAAAATTTTGGCCAAATGTCTGTAAGAAAACCTAGTCAAACAAGGATATTGATCCACAAATCAGTCATATATTCAATTTAGTGGATTGTTACCAGCCTTTAAAAAATGAGATAAAAGAGAGAAAAGATATGAGAGCATACAATACAGGATGGACAAATATTCTATAAAACTTATATCATATTAGAATATAGGCGTTTGTGTGTGTTTGTGAGTGATGTGTGCACACATGCATGTGTAGTGGATACTGCCTCAACTGTCAAGTTCAACTTTACATGATGTTAGAAAATGTTTCAAGATACTATCTAAAACATTAGCTAAATTGCTTTGCTAAAATATTGTAAACTGTTAATATTCTTTCTAAATTTCTTTTTTAATTGGTATATATTTACAGTATGTAACTAGGTTTATTTCAGGGAATTGGTGCATGTACATATCACATCTCAGTTAATTTTACTCCCCTTTCTGACAGCACCTTCCTTTCTCTCCCCATCCCTGGATCATTCTCCTATCCCCACAGTCTCCCTGCATCATCATCATTTATTTTTCTCTTGGATTTATTTATATTTGAGGTTTCTCATATAATAGAAACCAAGTGATATTTAACCTTCTGTTTGATTTATTTCACCTAGCATTTTGGTCTCAGGATGCATCTGTTTTTGCACAAATGACTCAAATTAATTGTTCATGTCTTTGCCATTAGTATTCCCTTATATTTCCTCCAAACTATTTATCCTTCAAGAAGCACCCTGACCCTTAACTCTTCCCTCTATAAATCTTCTAATTACTCCAGTAATCCCAGTGATTAGTTTGAAATTTCTAGGTCTAATTTTAAAATTCTGGGTATACTTCCAACCTACAAAAAAATGAGATTGAAGGCCATGAATTGCAACTTTTTTTTCTTCCAGAGTAATTAATATGATATTATGTAGATAATTATAATTTAATCAAATGTCATTACATAATTAAAATAATTACTAAAGCAGAATTATTCTAAGCCTCTTAGTAGTTTTACTTTTCTCCTATCTTGTAGTGTTTTGATGTTTCAGTGAGTCTAGATTTGTACCAAGATATTTTTCCATTATAGAATATAATTGCAAAAAATTTTTCATTAGAAACTTGCTTCACTTTGTAAGTTACATGTGGACTTTGTACTCGTAAAGTCATATTTTTCCTGGTATAACATTATAAATGTTTTCAGTGATGGTGTATTTTGTATTAAAATGATTAATACAATGATTAATTTGTAGATATTCTTAAAATGATCAGTGTTCGGGATTGCTCTGTCACATTCAACCAATTTATGAAATACAATTGAGATTAAAAACAGGCTGTCAAAGAAAAATTGTTTATACTGGTGGTTATTAATATAGAACTCATGGATAGTGCTTTGAATAAAACTGACAAGTCCAAGGATAAAGACAGTAAAGATTTTTTTTTCAAAAAATCAGGAAAAGGCTTTTAAAATCATAGATATAATCTTGAGATTTAGTTGTATAATTTCATTGAACAGCCATCATGTTGTGCTAGCCTATGTCTCAGGGAGTAGCATATGCTTCATTTCATCACCAATAAGAAGCACAATGTAAAAGGAGCTACATTATTGTTGGAGGTTTTTGTAAGTTTTTTTCACCTCAAATCAGCTTCCAGATTATATCCTGGTACTACAACATTTAATCCTGTGATCCATCAGCAAAACAGAAGAAAATATTCACAGATAGAGTTAGTATGACAGCAAAAGATAATCTAATAATATCCACAGTGAAATGAATTTCCCTTTAAGAGAATCTTCAATGATATTTGCTGCATTTTTCTAACATGTAGTGAAGTAGCAGGTTTTTTTTTCAGAAAAATTATTGGGCAAAAATTACCTTTAAAACTCACAACCTCATTGTAAATATCTCAATCTACTGACCATTCATAACAAAAGAGGCATTCGTGCAATTCTCCCAGAAACTCATAAACTTAGATATTTTAAGCATTACCCTATGTTCAATGGATCTGTCAAGAGACAACAGGAGAAAAAAAATCACTTTGTGATTAGTTTGCTTTGTGTAATATTTTTTATCTCCAGTAAGAGCGAGTTGAAGTGCAGAAGCAATCTGTCTATATCTGTACAATCTCTAAGGCATCTCTCACTCCCAGGAGTCTAAGGATATGATGTCATGATTTTCCATGTTTTCATTCTCTACCGTTTCCAAAGAACAAAGGCAAATGGCAGCGAATCTCTAGTTATATAACCTCCTTGATGACTCTACAAGTGTCTAATTGCAGTAGTTGTAACAGATACATGTGTAAGAAATATCTGACTGTTAAATTTTGCACATTTAGAGAAATCACCTTACAGAAATTAGATACTATAAGTGAATTGTTCCTTCTCTGTAATAACAATTATAAAACTAGACAGACATAATATTCTTCAATTACACTGATTTTTTTGTTATTCCAATAGGATGGAGCATTTGCTTAGAAGAGTGAAAGATTGAGAACAGAAAAGCAAAGGAAGGAAAATTTCTAAAGGTATAATATGTTTGTCTCTATTACACTGCTCCACATCTTTTATTTCTAAAAGAATTAGAATCATGAAAAGTTTAAAGTAGGCATTACTTCTTGATGCTCAGAACTGCATTATGTCTGTTTCCTCTGACACAAAAGTATTCCAAAACTCCCAAGTAGATTGAATATTTTCATTAGTTTTGGAGAGGATTGATAAGAAAAAGCCAAAGAAATCTCCTTTGCTTTATTGCATCAAAAAGATTCATGATTAAGTAGATAAAAATCTAATTTTTATGCTTGGGAACTACTTTTAATGATTCAGTTTTTTAAAGAAAGTATTTTCTACTCTGTCCTTCAGGGTTTCTTAAAGTGAGTTCACCTCTGTTCTTCATTTAAAAATGTAACAAATTAATTAATTTAAAAGTTTCAGAATTGCAGTATCTATAGCTTGATGTTGTAGAAAAATTTGTTCTCTTCCTAAAGAAATATCTGCCTCCTCAGTAGACAAAACAACTCCACTCTTGATAAAATTCTTACCGTAAAATGTTTTTAAATTTTTATGCTCATGTCTTCCCACACACTCAAGTTGAGAGAACTTCCCCTGAGAAATATTGAGAGCGTAAAACTCCATCAGTGTTAAACTTCAAAAGTTAGTGGCCAAAAGAATGTCATCCCAGAAGTGTAAGGAGTCACAGTGGGTTTAGCTAAGACCCTTTGTTTCATGACCTGTTCACACCTGAGGGTGCAACATCCCTGCATCCACAAGCTCTTGGGAAGTGGGAGGAATACAAATGTTGAGCTAGCAGGAACACTTGCTGTTCACCTAGGGCTTCAGCAGGCTGCTCTGTCCCCTCCTTATTGCTGATGGAAAGCTTGCCTTCACCCACATCTGTTTGAAGGGATACAGATGACCATCACATTTCCCTTCCGGTCCTACTGAATGTTTTGGCTAGCATTCCTAAAACTCAGAATATTTGTAAAGAGACCATTTACTTGGGCAATGAAGTGCTGGTCACAGCCTAATTGTTTCGTATTTATGAGAATCGGTGGTTTGAAGGAGGTAGTTCTTTCATATTTATGTTTCAGTGTTCCCCTGTGATTTAGAAAAGTGTTCAAAGCTGAGACTGGAGAACTTTCAAGAGTTCTGGGCAGATGGATTTAACATCCTGTGCAGGGATGTTAGTTTTCCTAACCCGGTTTAATGGCGAATCAGTGAGGTGTTATAATGTATGCAAAGAATCATAGTTGACATGCAGAAAATCCCTGACTTTTGGGCTTTCTGCCATGTCCTAAAGGAGTGAGCACGGTTACTATAGGACTGTCTTTCTCTTGGGAGATTTTGCTCTAGTTCACCTCACCTCGTTACTGATTCCTGGGCTGCAGTTTTGTGCTAAATGATGGTAGAAGAGCAGCAGTAGCTGAAAGTCTAAAAAAGTCTGCCACAGACCTTTCCATCTTTGCACCCGTTTGGAAATATGCTGTCCAAGAGACGTGTTAGGCACTGTTTTTCTTTCATCTGTTCCATCTAACTACAAGAGTACTTTTTCCTGTTAAGGATCCCGTAAAAGGACTAGCAGTTGAGACAGTTATATGAATGTATAGTAGAAATTCTTGGTTTATGGAAATTAAATACAAACCTCAATTTTGTATCGAGTTACTGTAACCCTAATATGTATTGTGCTAGCCCAAACACAGTCAGTGTAAGAAGAGCATTTTCATGGTCCATCAAACCCAAGACTGCTTTGAGTTCAGAAGTCCTGGTGAAATCTATTAAATTCTGACACATGCTAGCTGGCACTATGTGTAATGCTTGGGATGAGACAAGTTTCACATTTTGAATACTTCTAGATTTTTAAAATATTTGCATATACCTAATGGAAATAATAGTGAGGATGATCTCCAACTCTAAACACCAACTGTGTTTCACATACATCTTATACATGCAGCCTTAAATTAATTATGTACAATATTTTTAATGCACCTGCCACTGTCATATAAGGTCAGAAGTAGACTTTTTCCACCTGTCTTGTCATATTTGTGCTAATTTTTTTTAATTTGGAAAATTTCAAATTTGGGATTTTTAGAATTAGGGAATATTTAGCTTGTAAAAAGTAATCAGATAAAAATGAAATGAAAAGCTTTTGTCTGAAATTATGTCCAAATGAGATTTAATTCATTTTTATAACAAATTCTCACTGCTAACTTACCAAACTGAGACACAGAGTGACAAAAGGAAGAGTTACAAGATCAAATTATTGCACACAAAAGCACCTTTTATTCAACATCACCTTGATTTATTTTTCCTAGCATTTTTTCCCTCAGATGGAAAAATAATTTCATTAAGATAGCAGATGTTTCTGCCAAAGTGATTTTCATATTTTAACAATTTTCTTTAAAAACAAAAAAGTCGACTCTGTACTATGTTTCTCTGCCTCTTTTCCTCATTTATTTGGATGACTATTTTTTAAATGGGTCAGCAGAAAACAAGATGTTTCCCTCAGCTAGAGTGGTGATATTTTATTGCTGCTTTGTTGAGTATATATATTTTTCTCAATTGGGAAAAAAATCTAGGTGACCACAAAATAACAAGAGAAGTAGTTTACATGATCACAACATTTAAATTGCTGCCAAATGAAAAAAATGTAAAAAAAAAAAATTTAAACGTGAAATATTGTATAACTTCAAAAAAAACTTACCTCAACTATCTATCACTTATCATGTACTACAAGTCAACTTCAACTTTCTAAATAGGATTACAGTCCTTTATTATAAGTCCCTAGTGGTACTATGGTATACATTTTTAAAAATTCTACTACAAAATTTTTTTCGTCTTTGTTTTGCCTATCGTGTACTTAAGCTATACATAACTTTGAATACAAAGCCTACAGTAGGTATAAATGCAATAATTAACTGCTCCTGTCTGCAGATGTCCTGTTCACGTTCCTCAGAAGGTGGCATCTTTTAATCCAGCATCTTCTCCTGCTTTTTGCCTTCCTTTTTCTTCTTCTTAGATTCCACTGCAGTTAAAAACAGAGAGAAGAGGAAAAATAAGCAGCCAGTTTTTAATCTATTGAGAGACACAGTCACCTTATTTATAACTGACCAGTAACTACAAGATAAAAGCGATAGAAAAGTTGTTAGGTCTTGACAGCCCTACTGGTGTGTTGAGAGGAGTGTGTGTGTGTGTGTGTGCATCTGTGTGTGTGTGTGTGTGTGTATGTGTGTGTGTGTGTGTGTGTGTGTGTGTGGTGCGCACGCGTGTGCTGTTGCTAAGAAAGTACTTCTAAAATTAAGCCGACAGAGTGCAGCTACCCCTGTGTGAATACCTACAAATGCCTCTCATCTTGTTGGTCCTTTCTATTCAGCATTCAGAATATTATTTGAATGTCTTGCTTAGAAAACAAACGCAGCAGGCAGTCATCTCTGAGAGAATTAACCAGGTTGCTGCTCTGTGAAGAGTTTAAAGAGCTCTTTTAGCCCCACTCTTTTCACAGAGCTGTTTAGAAGAATTAGCACTTTCTTTCTGAGCAAACAATTCCAGAATGCTTCGCCTTTGGATGCCCCATCTGTTTATATATTCAGTTAGCTATTTACAGAGTAAAGAGCAGCTGTGAACCGCATGCAGCCTATCTAGACCTTTGCCTATAGGCTTCCGATCTTGCAGGAAGCAAATAGAAGGTACCGACCTGTGTTAAACTAAACAAGTAAAACCCTGAAGATTGAAATTGAAATTCTCATCCTTTCCCACTCGTTCATCTTGCTTTTCTTTTCTAAAGGAAAAGTGTGATAGAAAACAGATCTACTTTAGCTCCAGACAAAAGTGGTAAGAATTGCTGAGCTAGCAAGTGAAAAGACACTGCTGGTTGCTTCTGGATTGCCTCCCCAACTTGGTCCACAGCAATGACAGAATTGTGCCAGCTGGGCACCGGCTCTGAAGACAGTGTGCTAGGATTTAAATGCAGATTGCATCAATAATGGGATTTTGGGAATGCTACTTCACGCATTTGTGTTTCAGATTAATCACCTCTGAGTGGGCATATGAATAATATAACCTGTGACTACTATACAAGTTTACTTAGTTGTATAAAGTCCACTGAGAACAGAATATAGCAAAAATAGCATTTCTTCAATAAAAGTACGCATTTATCTTTAGATGATAATAAACAGACTATTCCTTGGTATAATTAAAGTTCTTCATCATCACCAGTGTGAATTGCCTGAGCATGTGACGCACCATAGAGGTATCTTGGCTGTCACAGCCAAAGGGAATTATAGATTGTTCAGGAGATCCTAAAAATGATCCCTAAGAGAATCCGCTGGCTTATGATGATGGAAGACATGACATGATGTCAACCAGAAATATTGTACTTTTTTTCAAATCACACGTAAGTAGAGTTAGAAACTCTTAATTCTTATTTACTGTCCTCAACAGTAGTTCCAAAGTCCACTGCACTCTGGTAAAAAGGCATTAGTGTTCATTATAATTTTCCCAAACCTTTGGCATTCAGGTTTCTCTGGTACACTCTGTGCAGTTTGGTCAGCAGTTCCTAAAATCTTGATTAACTGATTCTCTTACATATAGCCATTCTGTTCAGGACTATCCTCAGTTTAGCCTTTTCTACTGAAGAGACTTAATCTTTCATTCCCGCTATATTTTCTCATTTTTACGACTGTCTCCTTAACATATAAAGAGTAAAGTGACAAGAATTTCTTAAAGTTACCCATAAGATCAAAGAAGGTATTCCATTTAATATCTAAACAAATAGTGTTTAAAGGTTTAATAATTCCTAAGCTTTGGTTAGCATTGTAAGCAGTAGCTATTTATTAAGATGATACCCTCAGGGAATAAATCTTACGTACAATCTAATTCCTGGTTCTTTTTTTTTTTTTTTTTTTTTTTGAGATGGGGTCTCGCAGTTCAGTCTGGCCTTGAGCTCACTTTGTAGCCCAGGCTGGTCTCAAACTCGCAACAATCCTCCCACCTCAGCCTCCTGAGTGCTGGGATTACAGGCGAGAGCCAACATGCCCAGTCCTTCTGGCTCTTTTATTTCAATTTTCTCACATTTTATACTGGGAACTCATTAGTAATCTCCAAGCCTTTAGCTCTCAAGTAGAGAATATGTGTGGCTTTATCTTCATATTTTGGCTAACATCTCTCTATTTTATACATAAGTCTGAATGGATAGCACAGTAATCAGATGTTTTCCTCACATTTATTTCATAAAACATGAAGTTATTTTGATCACTGAACACTCTATGATTGAACTAATGTAGGTTGTCATCTCCGTGAGCACTTGGGTGCGGGAATCTCTCCCAAAACTCCCTGCTGTTAAAGGCAGGGCCACCTGCCCTCTCTGGCCTAGAGTTTGTTTTTCATTAATTAGCAATGTGTCAAATACCAAGAAACCAACCAGTTTCCCACTTCATCAGCACAGAGACAATTAACTCGTTCTTCTGATACAACTGTCAACTCAATTGTGCAAACACCCTGTAGACATCAACCATTCTGTGGTCAATCCAGATAGACAGAGAAATGAAAAACCTTCAGCAAAAGTCAAAGAAAAGCAGGAAGAACTTACATTTACAGTGAGCCAGTTTGATTCCTCACATAAGGAAATGTTTTGCAAGAAAATATTTCTTCCCAAAAAAAAGGGCATTTTTTGGACTCTACCCTTAACCAGCATACTAAAAGAACATTGTCATTGTTCATCTCTGTGGCCTAAAAAAACTTATTTGCAACCCCTCAATTTTTATCTATTATATCTTTGGAATGTAAAATAGTATCATGAAATCTAGACTCCAGCAAAACTTGGTCCAACTTCTTTAATGGCGAATGAAGAAACAGAAGCATTGAAATGGGGTCTCTTCCCTTCGGTTTCCACTGCTTGGGCTGACTTCAGTTTCCAAGGCCACCATTTCCCCTCTCCAATCTTCAGCCATGAAGCCCACCTCCATTATCAACCCTACGCTTCCACCCTTGTTCTTGTCTTATTGGTTTGTCTCATCCTTCAGGTGCCAACTTCAGCATACATAGTTTCCTGGCCTCAGGGCTGAGGTAAAGTCTTTTCTCTTCAATTCCCTTATGACAGTGCGTATCACTGGTACTACAATTGACTGTGAAGTATTGTACCCCAGTCTGTGCACGACTGTTGATCAGTAAATTTCCAGAGTAATCAATAAATGTTTTACATGACACAAACCTATCTCATGCATCTTCTTTGTGGAGGTTCTTTGAATTCCTCTGTGTGTGTGTGTGTGTGTGTGTGTGTGTGTGTGTGTGCGCGCGTGCGTGTGCTTTTACTTCAGCCTTCACCCATGCCTGAGTGTTTTTTTTTTTTCCTCCTGCTATCTCAATTTTGTTAGTCAATCATTGTTTATCCTTAAGATCATAGTCCGATTTTGCTTTCTCGGGGAAACCTTTCCAGGACTCCCCGATTAAGCAGATTCTTCACACAGACCCATTTCTTGTGCCTTTCATTGCCTTTTCCACATTAGAACTGAACTGTTAATTTTGTTTCAAATAAATATGTTTTTTTCTTTTCTGTGAAGGTAGAGACCCTTTTCTGTATTTTGCATCTGTATTTTTGGTACCTGACATATGCAAGTATTCGTGAAATATACGTTGCATGCAGGCTGGACAAATGAATATTTAAATGAGAAATTGGGTATCAACTTACCATTATACAGAAAAATATTTTTCATAGAAAGGAAAGACTCTAAATACCTTAGTGTAGCTTTAAAGATAAATATTTTATGAATAAGAAAGTCACAAACACACAGGAAATTTATTTGTGTTGCTTAACACATTTTTGTGTCTTTAAAATAAATGCCTGAACTAACTCTGGGGGTAAAACTAATATCCCACTTTAATGAACTTTTAAGGTGACAGCCAGAGAAACTTTGCTTATGAACAAAAGAGGCAGGAATTATCGTGGGGCAGGGCAAAGTCAAACACATCATAATGCAATCTGGTATGAGGACTCACAAGGGTCAGCCCTGACGTGAGGCAGGAGAGACCTTGCCTCCTCCTGAACAAAGCCACGTCAATGACAGGTCACACAGATGGCAACCTCCAGGCAAGATTCCACGCTTCTCCTGGACTAAGGCCATGCAGCAGGCATGAACACAGGTGAGAAAGGAGCCCTTGTCAAATGTGAGAGTGAGGGTTCCTCCCATAAAGTGACTTCTCCTCCTTGGATGACCTCTGAGAGGACATTAGGGAAATAATCTAAAAACTCTCTGTGGCATGTTTTAACTCTCTGCAGTTCAAAACTTCAACCTTTCTTTTTCAGTTTTGAGTTTACAGTACTCATGATAACTGGGATACAGGCATGAGAGAGGATGGTAGGTGTGTAGAATTTGGCACTACTTGAAAATAAATCATTTTCTTTTTTTTTTTGTCTTTTTCGTTTTTATCGGTATCAGGGATTGAACTCATGACCACACAGGAAGGTGCTTATGCTGCTAAGCTAAATCCCCAGCCCCCAGAAATCATTTTCTTTAAAGATGTGTTTGGAAGTATTTAGAAAGCTGTAAGACTTTCCTAAAAACTGTACTCTAGTAAGAATTCATTGTTTTTTTTTATTTAAATGTTAGATTTATTAAACAAAAGAAGCCTTATGATATTTGAAAATGTGGATTTGATTTTTGTAATTTAACATTAGGGTTTCAGAGTGCATGCATTTTTCTACAAGTGACTCAAGTGTATCATTGTTTATTGCAGAATACTCCATAGTACATAAAGACCATTTTTTTTTTTATTCCATTCATCTCATGATAGCCAAACGGGCCATTTCCAAGATTTGACTACTATGAGTTGTGCTGCTATAACCATGGATATGTGTGGATTGCTTTCATATGTCTTTAATTCTTTCAGAAAGACATCTAGAAGGGAAATTTCTGGGTAGGATGAAATTTCTAGTTGTAGTTTCCTGTAGACTGATTTCACTAGTGTCTGTGTTGTTAACACAGTTAACACCTCCAACAATAAGAGATAAAAAAATAGAAAATATAGAGA